CCCAGAGTCATTCGTTGTCAGTTTTCGATTAGACATTTGTAGATATCCTAGTTCTGGTTCATGCTTGAAATAGCAGCCCTCACCCAACTGCCTTGCCATCTTGCATTCAATAATGTAAAATGCAGCCCGACTGGTGTGGCTCAGTGGTTGAGTGTTGACCTGTGCACCAAGAGGTCACCAGTTTGATTCCTGGTCAGGGCACATGCCCAGGTTGTGGGCCCAATCCCCAGTGGGGAGCATGCAGGAGGCAGGCAGTCAATGTTCTCTCTTATTGATGTTTCTATCTCTCCCTTCCTCTCTCTCTCTCAAAGCAATAAAGAAAAAAAAAATTAAAACAAAATGCAAGATGCATTCCTTCCATGTAAGAAGATGTTCACTACCCTATGACACCCTAGCTGCAGCAATTAAATGTTTCATATTTTTTACACCCCTCTTATCTCTGACATTTCAGATATCTTAGCACCTTAGTCAAGGCTGGAAGTGCCTTTGGCTCTACCCATGGTTTGTCCACATAACCCATTGTAGAAGGGAGCTGAAGATCCAATCTGTGGTGCCCTTCCAGAAAAAAAGGAGTAATTCCAGTGGACTGTGTCATCTTCAGTTTTCTTACCCCACACCAAAAGGTGTTTCTTAGATGTAGTTCGTAAAATCCACCAACTAACTCTTGTCTTTCATGTATTGCCTTTTGTTCCTGGCCCATTCCTCTATCTCTTATTTCAACAGCCAGCTACTTTGAGTCTATCTGAAACAAGAGGTGTGGGAGTGAAGACCAATACTCATTCTAAAACCTCTGCCTGGGCTTGTTCCCTTACATGGCAAAGGGAAGGGCTCTGGGAACAGTTTTATCTCCTGCTGTTTGGTGGTACAGAAGCAGTTGACTTTTTCAATGTTGTGAAGACATAGTTCCTGGTCTCTGCAAGCATCGCAGGTTGTGAGTATTTGAGTAGTGAGAAGTTGCTTTTTTTTTGGTTTGTTTTTTGTTTATTTAAATGTTGTTTCCTTTATTGATTTTAGAGAGCAAGGAAGGGAGAGGGAGAGAGATAGAAACATCAATGAGAGAGAACATCAATTGGCTGCCTCCTGCATGCCCCCACTGGGGATTGGGCCCACAACCTGGGCATGTGCCCTGAACAGGAATCGAACCAGCGACCTCTTGGTGCATGGGTCGATACTCAACCACTGAGCCACACCAGCTGTGCTATTTTTTAATGAATTTTAAAATAATCTTAAAAATCAAACCGTGCACATTTTACATATCTTGGTTTTTTTTTTTTTTTTTTCTTTTCAATTAAAGGTGATGAATCTGCTTAAAAGAAAATTACCTAAGCACTTCCTTGGGTAAAAGACCAGTTGAGTTTCTTGGAATTCTATTCATATCCACTTATTAAACACTAATTTGGCCATCATTTTGAGCCTACCCCTCCATTTTACTGTTGTCTATTAACTCCTGATCAGGTCTTCACATTCACTAACATTCAGCATCTATGTGGTTGACCCAACTTACATTCAGACTTTTTAGTTACATATAGACTACTACCTTTGAACAATTGTGTCATCTAGTTTTAAGTGTTCCCTGAAAACATCCTTGTTAAATTGTCTTTTCCTCTTATCCAAGCTGCTATGCAGAACTTCTCAAGACATTCTTTACGAGACAAGAATTGTATTTTACCTCTTGCTCTTAGCTGCCTGCTCATGCTTTATAGGGAAAACATAATTTTTTTTTAGGGAACACCTCAATTTCTTGTTTTTGCTGTGTCTTTTCATTCAATTTTTCGGGATAGACACCTTACTCACCCTCCAGGACAGTCTTTTGTGTAAGGCCAATTCCCCAGTACCCCCAAATCTCTCTAAACTTAAAATAATGTTAAAAGCTGTGAATTTCTTTAAAAATTAAAAATTAATTACCATATTATCCGCAATACCACTTCTGGATATAAATCAGAAAGAACTAAAAGCAGGGTCTCAAAGTGATATTTGAATACCCATGTTCAAAATTGCCAAAAGGGCCCTGGCCAGTTTGGCTCAGCAGTTAGAGCGTTGGCCTGCGGTCCGGAGAGACCTGGGTTCGGTTCCCGCTAAGGGCATGTGCCTCGGTTGCAGTTTGTCCCCGGCCCTGGTTGGTCGTGCGGGTGGCAGCCACTCGATGTGTCGCTTTCACGTCGATGTTTCTCTCTCTCTCTCTCTCTTCCTCTCTCTCCCTCCCTCCCTCCCACTCTATCTGTATAAAAAATGGAAAAATGTCCTCGGGTGAGGATAAAAAAAAAACCCAAAAAACAAAATTGCCAAAAGGTTGCGCTGGCCGGTTTGGCTCAGCAGTTAGAGTGTTGGCCCACAGACCAATGACTCGTGGGTTCGATTCCAGTCAAGGTCATGTACCTCGGCTGCGGTTCATCCCTGGCTCTGGTCGGGGTCGTGCGGGAGGCAACCAGTCGATGTGTGCCTCTCATGTTGATGTTTCTCTCTCTCCCTCTCGTTCCCTCACTCCCACTGTATCTGAAGATAAATAGAAGAATATTCTTGGGTGAAGATTTAAAAAAGTACTAAACGGTGGAAGCAACCCAAATGTTCATCGACAGATGAATGGATAAACAAAATTTAGTATATCCATACAATGGAATATTATTCAGCCTTAAAAAGAAAGGAAATACTGTCACATGGCACCAACATGGATGTATATGTCCATGTGAGGTATCTACTAGAGGTATCTTAAGTAGTTAAATTTATAAGAAAAGAAATTATGGAGGTTGCCAGGGGCTGGGGGAAGGGAAAAACGGGGAGTTGCTTAACGGGTGTAGAGTTTCAGTTTTCAAGATAAAAAAGTTCTGTAGGTGTGTTGCACAGCAATGTGGAGGTATTTAACACTATTGAACTGTAGACTTAAAATGGTTAAGATGGTACAGTTTTAGGTTATACGTATTTTACCACAATTTTTAAAAGTACCTGGACTTCATGCCTCTATTTTGTAAGAATATTTTATAGTCACAGTCATCTGTCCTTTAACTCTCACTTCCTTCTCAACCCACTGTCATCTGAGTTCTGCTCTCATTGTTCTACCAAAACTGCTCTTGCTAAAATTGTCAGTGACCTCTATATTTCTGTGCTTAGTTTACTCAACCCAGGGTATTCAACAATGTTCACCACTTCTTTCTGGAAGTTCTTTTATCCTTTCCCTTGTATCACTGACAACTCTTTTTTTGCTGGCTTTTCTTCTTCATAATTAGTTCTGTCCTTGGCCCTAGGCTCTTTGTGTCTTTAGATTTTTGCAGTTTCCTTGTTACAGCTCAATGAAACTTGAAGTATTGGTTGTCAGATTTATATCTGTGATCAGATCTCCCTCTGACTAGTCAACTCTATCTAAATGCCTCATAGACTCCCCCGCCGGTGTGGCTCATGGGTTGAGCATCAATCTATTAACCAAGAGGTCACCGGTTCAATTCCTGGTCAGGGCCCATGCCCAGCTTGTGGGCCAAATCCCCAGTGGGGAGCATGCTGGAGATGGCCAATCGATGTTCTATCCATCATTGATGTTTCCATCTCTCTCTCTCCCTCTCCCTTTACTTTCTCTCTAAAATCAGTAAAGGAAAAAAAAATTTTTAAAAATAAATGTACTCTTGCCCTGGCCGGTTTGGCTCAGCGGTTAGAGCGTCGGCCTGCGGTCTGGAGAGACCCGGGTTCGGTTCCCGCTAAGGGCATGTACTTCGGTTGCAGTTTGTCCCCGGCCCTGGTTGGTCGTGCGGGTGGCAGCCACTCGATGTGCCCCTTTCACATCGATGTTTCTCTCTCTCTCTCTTCCTCTCTCTCCCTCCCACTCTACCTGAACAAAAAATGGAAAAATGTCCTGGGGTGAGGATTAAAAAAAAAAAAAAATTTTAAAAAAAATAAATAAATAAATGTACTCTTCCAACAGACCTCAAACTAAACTCACCATCCCATCTCTTGTGTTTTCTAGCTGTGACATTCTTTCCCAAATTCTAATTTGAAACCTGGTAGTAATACTGGGATTATAAATCTTCATTATCCCCCTATCCAGTCAGTGAAAAAGTCCTGATTGCATTTCCCTTATTAATTCTCGAAATCCATCTCAACTGTCAGCATCTTAGGTGCCTTTAAGTTGGTCTTCCTGCGTCCAGTTTTGCCTTGCTTAATTTTGTTGTACACGTTGTGTTTTAGTGATCTTAAAACTTGTTCGATTGTGAGGTTTGTCAACTTAAAGGCCTTCCTTAGCTTGCCATTCCTATTAGGCCTTCCTTACCTTGCCATTCCTATTAGGGTAAAGTCTTAACTTTTTTTTTTATCCTCACCGGAGGACATTTTCCTTTTTTTTTGTTTTGTTTAGATAGAGTGGGAGGGAGAGAGAGAGAGACAGAGAGAGAGAGACAATCGACGTGAAAGGGACACATCGAGTGGCTGCCACCCACACGACCAACCAGGGCCGGGGACAAACTGCAACCGAGGTACGTGCCCTCAGCAGGAACCGAACCCTGGTCTCTCTGGACTGCAGGCCGACGCTCTAACCGCTGAGCCAAACCGGCCAGGGCTTAACTTTTTACTATTCAGTATACAAAGCCCCTATACTCCCTCAAATCTTAAATTACTACACTTTTTATCCAGCGGTGAGCCATTGTGTGTGTGTGCCCGCATTCACATAAGGAGGGTGTGAATTCGATTCTCTGCCAGTACTCAGTGCAGTGGGACGCAAAAGCTGTATTATTTTAACTCAGGTTTTTCCCATAACCACTGCAGATATTACTGAGCATTTAAGCATCTCAGATCCCTCTAGCAGCCCAGACTAGCAACAATACAACACATTTGAGCGTGAGTGGGGCGGGTAAGGAGGGGCCAGGGATTCCAGGCTAGGCAGTCTCCAGGCAACGGAGGGTGTGCGCAGGCGCAGGCGCAGGCGCAGGCGCAGGCGGATGAAAGCCACTCCTGCCTGGCCCTCTTTCCAACCGACAACGTAAAGGGGTCACGTAAAGCCATTTCCGGGAAGTGGAGTCGCGCTTTGTTAGCTGCAACAACATGGAGTCGACTAGTGAAAGAGAAGAGCCGGTGAGAGGCTGCTCTGGGGTCGGGTGAATGGGGAAGTCGAGCGGAGCCTAGCCTTGAAATCTACCCCCAACCCTTTTCTCCTTTCCAGGTTTCCGGGGAGCTCGTGTCAGTGGCACATGCTCTTTCTCTCCCAGCGGAGTCTTATGGCAACGATGTGAGTATGACTCACCCATTGCTCCAATTCACCTAGTCTGTGATGTCTGCAGGGCCCGCCACGAAATTGTAACCCCTTTCCCTGTCCATTTCTGCTAGAAACCGCACCTTTCAGTTCATTCTAATCTTTTTGGTCCACAAACGCAGGGCTAATGCCGTTGAAAGTAGTTCCCAAACTTTACCGCATTTTAGAATCCCCTGTGAAGTATTTAAATATCCCCATGTCCAGGATGCAATCTATACTAACTAAATCATAATATCTGGGCCGGAGAGCCCAGAATTTGTGCAGTAAAGTAGCACTGGCTTATGGTGTGTCATGTTTAGATTCTTAAGTAGGGAGCACATGCTGTATTTGAGGCACAAGACAAGGATATGAGAACGGTAGTAACAGTCAATTAAGAATGTGATATATGCTAGATGAGTGGATTAGGGCATAAGATACAAAGCAGTTTAGCTGAAGAATAAACTCATACAACCCAGATAGTAGAGGAAGACTTCACTGAGATAGTGGATTTTGAACTGGATACTCAGTGAACAAAGGACATAAATTGGCAGTTAGGCAAAGTCCCAGGAGGTAAAAATGCAAATGGCTTCTTCTGGGGTCAGTGAACTAGATCCCTCCAGTATGAGTGGGAGATTCTAATGGAATAGGTAGTGGATGTTTGCTAAGGTATTTATAAATGAGCCTGCTTCATAATACTGTTCCACTTTTAAGTGTAATAGGGTGTGGAGTTGGCTGTGAGATAGATACAAATGATGATTATGAAATGCCACACTGTTAAAAGTGAAGAGTAAATTCACTTCCATTATTTTCTTTGGTTGTTTGAACAATTCATTTGTATGTGTTTATTATTTCAGTTTTTCATTGATTTAACTCATTATTTTTAAATATTTTTTCATATATATATATATTTATAGATGCAATGGGAAAGAGGAAGGGAGGGAGAGAGAGAGAAAGAGAGACACATAGATGTGAGAGAGACACATCAATTGGTTGCCTTCCTGCACGACCCCAATGCTGGATAGGGATCGAAACTGCAACCGAGGTATGTGCCTTTTACTGGGAACTGAACCTGACACTCTTCGGTCCGAGGGCCAACACTCTAACCACTGAACAAATTGGCTAGGGCAACTCAGTCTTTTTTTTAATGTTTTTTATTTTTTTTATGGATTTTAAAGAGAAACCGATTTGTTGTTTCACTTATTTTTGAACTTATTAGTTGATTCTTGTATGTGCCCAGACTGGAATTTGAACCCTCAACTTTGGTATTGGGGATGACGCTCTAAGCAGGGCCTCAGTCTTGAGAATGTTTTTTATCTACTTTTTTATTTAGTCTTTTAACACTTTCACTAGCTTCCAGGAAAAGATAGTCAGTGGCTCATTCTATTTATTAGACTGTGTAGGTAGATTTTTATTTGTCATAAGCACAGAAGAATTATTTTATTGCCCAAACTCATTAGTCCAGTTTTTATTTTTCGGCAGTAACACCAAGTTTGGTAGTTCTCTTGAGCATTAACTAGACATACAAAGACTTCCTTATTTTGTTCTCTAGTAGCGGGATTAGGAGATTTCTGACCTGTCATTCTTTACTCCTTTGTAGCCTGATATAGAGATGGCGTGGGCCATGAGAGCAATGCAGCATGCTGAAGTCTACTACAAGGTGAGTTGTTTATCTTCATAATTAAGCAGAATTAAACATGTACTGTTTGCTTCTCTGCTAATAACTATTCTCAGCAATGTAAACAGTTGTGTTTTAGAGATGATTTTTCTTATTGTAAGATCTTACCCACAGAGAACAGGGGGGTAGAAATAGAAGTGAATTTTGGTTTGAGAATGAGGAATGGAGCGTCTTTGCTCAGAGTTGTGTTGCTAATTGGCAAAAGGGTGCCTGGCCCATAGCAGGCACTTAAGAGATATTTGTTGACTGAATGAATGATGCATGGAGGGCATTAGCTAGGCATTACTAAGGCCAAACCTATTTGAATTGATGAAATGGACTGTAGTATATTATGGCCCTTTTAAAACTATGTCATGATTTTATTCAGAACTTAAGCTGTCTATACTTCCTAATGCACTCTTCTGCCCTGAGAACCATAAGGGTTTTTGGGGGAAGGGGGAAATAGAAGTGTAGTAAATTAGAAACTAACATATGTATATTGTCTCATTGTCTGGCAGCTGATTTCATCAGTTGACCCACAGTACCTGAAACTCACCAAAGTGGATGACCAAATCTATTCTGAATTTCGGAAAAATTTTGAGAAACTCAGGATAGATGTATTGGACCCAGAAGAACTCAAATCAGTATCAGCTAAAGAGGTAAGAGTTCTGTCTCTTAAATATTGCCTAGCATCTGACCAATAGTTATTTATGGTGGATACATTTTTATACATATAAAATTGGGTGAGGTTGTTTTAAGGAAAATACATAAAGAAACAGTGCTCTTATGTAGTTGTAATCAATCATTAAGTAGGTTATAAAATGACTTTTTCTGGTTCATGGATTTCTTTTATGTTCATCGAATGTATTTTTTCTACTTTCTTGACTTGGACATTTCATTCCTAATCACCCAGCCCTTTAAAGGGAGGAAGAATGAATTTATCTATGTGAGTAGTTTAACCAGAACAGTTGAATAGAAGATTGGCAAATAGGCTACAGGGAGGTGTTTGGATTCTCTGTAAATAATGTTATCACTGGCCATGCTAAAGATCATGAAAACCTTGTGTTTCGAATTGTTTACTTGATGATCTTTTACATTCACAGAGCACTAAAGCCCTTACAATTGGGAAAAATTTTCCCTGAAAGTATTCCCTTGGCCGATGAAGAATGTAAATTTTTAACTTTTTTTTTTTTTTTTTTTTTTTAATCCTCACCCGAGGACATTTTCTATTTTTTGTTCAGATAGAGTGGGAGGGACAGAGAGAGAGAGAGAGAGAGAGAGAAACATCGACGTGAAAGGGTCACATCGAGTGGCTGCCACCCACACAACCCAACCAGGGCCGGGGACAAACTGCAACCGAGGTACGTGCCCTTAGCGGGAACCGAACCCGGGTCTCTCTGGACCGCAGGCCGACGCTCTACCGCTGAGCCAAACTGGCCAGGGCGTAAATTTTTAACTTTTAACAGGATGTTAACTGATTCTGGGAAATTGCCTCTACTAAAAGGAACTTCTTGCTTAAAATTTAACCTTGTGACTTTGGGCCAAATTCATGCCTTCTTTGTATTATTTATGCTTCAGTGGGGATGAATACTTATTCAGCCAACAACTAAAAACAAAGACTTCATTGTAGAAATCAAAATTTGATTCTGTAGTCAAGGATTTAAGTACTTTGTCATGGAAAAATATTGTTCAAGTTTGGAAATACCAGTCTAAAGACACAATAGGTAGCACAGAAACTTATTGCTAATGAAGCAAGCAATCAGATCAAACCTAGTCTCTCACTCTGGTTATTTTCTTTACTGGGAAAGTGGAAGGCCTTCTCTGGGCTTGATTTCACCAGCCTCCTGCGTTAGTCAGGTAAGGTATCTTTTTTGCCTTTATAGAAGTGGAGGCCATTCTGTTTGAAGTTTGATGGGGTTATAGAAGATTTCAACTATGGTACTTTGCTGCGACTGGATTGTTCTCAAGGCTACACTGAGGAAAACACCATCTTTGGTGAGTTTCTTGCCCCTGGAATTATTTTTATAAAAGGTGAGTGGGGGATCTGGTTTTACTGATGAATAGTTCACATGCATAGTTAATTTGGGATCATCTTATTTGTTGTATCTTTAAAGATCATGTTACTAATTCTTAAGTAACTGAGAGATAAGATAGTTAAGTATTTTCATCCTCAGTTATTATAGGATTAGAATTTCACTGCTCTGAAACTTATGACTATCCTTGAATATATTGCATGTTAGTTCTGCTTTGTCAATAGGTTTCCAGTAGGTTTGGAGAAATTGTGACTAGGATAAGAAATTCTATTTACATTCTAGCCCCCAGGATACAATTTTTTGCCATTGAAATTGCTCGGAACCGGGAAGGCCATAACAAAGCAGTTTACAACAGTGTTCAGAACGAAGAGGGAGAGAAAGGAGCCAACAGAGGAGCAAAGGAGAACAACAAAGGAGGAGAAAAAGAAAAAGAAGCCAATGAAGGAATCAACAAAAGTGGTGAAACATCTATGTAAGGTAGAAAGAGAATATCACTCTAGAAACAATAACTCAACTGAGCCTACAAAGTTACTTACACAGTATCCCTGTGGTTAAATGTATGTCCTTGTTCAACTGAAGGACATGCAGAAAGACATTTTTTTGTAGCCTAATAATCAGGAGCTGCTTTGGTTGTTCTCTTGTAAGAACTGGTTTAAAGACTATGAGTGGAGTCATAGTTGACTGTTTCTTGGTATATTTTTTCTTGGTTTTCTTCACTGACTGGTAAAATAAGAAATTTTGTAAATAAATTTATTTTGTTTCTAATGACTGTCTATATCTGATTAACTTTTAAAAGGGACTCAAAATTATTTTACACTTTAATCTAATTACAATTAACATAGAATGTCATTAGTTTCAGGTGCACAATACAGTGATCAGACTTCCATATAACTTAATGAAGCAACCACTCAGACAAGTCCAGCACCCATCTGACACCACACATAGCCATTAGAACATTATTGACTGTGTTCCCTGTGCTATACTCTACATTCCCAGGATTCATTTGTTTATTCATTTATTTTCCTTTATTGATTTTATAGAGGAAAGAGAGGGATTTAGATAGAAACATCGATGAGAGAGAACATTGAATGGCCGCCTCCTGCATGCCCCACACTGGGGATCGGGCCCACAACCTGGGCATGTGCCCTGACTGAGAATCGAACAGGCGACCTCTTGGTGCATGGGCCGATGCTCAACCACTGAGCCATACCAGCCAGGCCCCATGATTTTTGTAACTACCAATTTGTACTTCATAATCCCTTCTACTTTTTAACCTATCCCCCTAATCCTGCGACCATCTGGCAACCATCAGAATGTTCTCTGTACCTAGGAATTTGCTTACGTTTAGTTTGGTCATGTTCTTTATATTTTATGTAAACAAAATTTTTTAAAATTGATTTTTAGAGGGAGAGAGAGAGATAGAAACAGTAATGAGCAAGAACATTGATTGGCCGCCTCCTGCATACCCCCCACTGGAGATTTGGCCCACAACCGGGGCATGTGCCAAGACAGGAAATCAAACTGGCGACCTCTTGGTTCATGGGTCGACACTCAACCACTGAGCCACACCGGCCGGGCAAGTTCATGTTCTTTAGATCATACATATGTGTAAAATGATACGGTGTTTATCTTCTTCTGTCTGACTTATTTCACTCAGCACAATACTCCCTAGATTTATCCATGTTGTTGAAGCTAGCAAGAGTTAATTTTTCCTACTTTTTATTATCTTAGACCCTATATTTTGAAACATTTATTTATGTAAAACATTGTTATTTAATTTTTATTTTTTTTAGAGCAAGTGTAGGAGAGAGAGAGCTAGAAACATCAATGAGAGAGATATGCTTCCTGCACACTCCCTACTAGGGGTCGAGCTCACGGCCTGGGCATGTGCTCTGACCAGGAATTGAACCAGGACCTCCCAGTCCATGGGATGACATTCAGTCCATGGGATGACATTCAGTCCACTGAGCCACACTAGCCATGCTGTTCTTTTTTTAATCCTCACTTGAGGATATGCTTTCTTTTTATTTATTTTAGAGACAGAGGAAGGGAGAGGGAGAGAGAGAAACATTGATATGAGAGTGAAACATCAATGGATTGCCTCCACAAGTGCTATGACTGGCTGTCCAAACTGCAACCTGGGTATGAACTCTGATGGAATAAAACCTGAGACCTTTTGTTGTATGGGACGACCTTCTAGCCAGCTCAGCCCCAGCTGCCATGGCCTGTGTTACATTCTTTATACATACATTTCTGTGAACTACATAGTGACACATCAAAGGCAGATGAGCACACATGAGCATTGTATTATGTCATGGATGACCAGAAAGAATCCAGATTCTTGTGCAGAATAATGATTTAGAACTTTTATTTTTTAGGCACAATTTAAATAAATATGGGGTAAGATGGCAACAGTAAGTTGCTAGTCTGAGATCTCTAGCTGTCCAAATATATATCCCATCCCAATCCCTGCTATGTCTGAGAAATAAAGTGGATGTTGTCACTGTAATACATCTTAGTACAACATTTAGCAAACTATGCTCTAAAAAATTGGTAAGTACATAGAAAATTCTCTCAGGAAAGAACCTGTCAAATCAACTGGAAAAGAAATGAAAGAGACAGGAATAATCAGTACATTTCTATGAAATAGAATAGGAAAAAAGTTCTAAGCTAGTGAAGTGTTCAAATTGGCATAATGATAAGATGACTGGAAATTAAATAATTGCAGTAATTGCTTAGAGCGATAACTAGTGATACACACTATTTTTAATAAGTAAAAATTGTTAACTAGAGAATATTACTGTGACACTCTTTTAAGAAAATTCTCATGTAAGAGTCAAGACCAACTACAGTAACAGTAAAGACCATGGGAGGTGTGTTTGTTTTCGGCAAACAAAGTAAATTTTGTTTGGTTTCAGTAACATGTAATTTATTGCTCATTCGATAAATACTAAAGATATATTATTTGGCAGTCACTATGCTACTTGTGTGTTGATGTTCAAGGTAGATAAGAAAAAACAGCAATCAGAAAGAGGTTATATCTTTGTTGAGAATGATTACGTAGTAATCTAAATAGTCAAAGAGAGGGTCTTCTAATGCTAGGGAAAGCTGGTGCCCAGTTGTGACATGGGCATTTGCATGGCTGAGAATGGCTGGTCTGAATGCAGCAGTGGACGGACAAGGGGACAGGAGGCGCCATGCGACGGGGATAAACAGACATGGGAGCTTCAGGGGCTTGTGAGCCATGCTGAGATTCTGGATCAGAATCTAAAAGACAGAGGCCTGCATAAGGAATCAAGCCTGTGTTTGGCTGCAACATAAACAACGTACAAATGTCCATGAGAAAAATAAAGGTGTGGACATAAAGGCACAAATAAGCAGCAATGCTTTGAAGATAGAACAAAAAGATAGTTCTATAATGTTTGTAAAGTACCACCACCTCCTGAGAGTGATGGAATCTATGACATGTCATATTTATTATTTCAATCATGGCACAATGGTGATTATGGTTACTGGGGTGGTTATAGTATGCAATATTTTAAGGGATAAAATGTATTTTGAAGTAAGATAACTTCTGCCAATAAAATGTAATAAGTACTTAAGCTTTATAATAGCTGAAATAATTTAATGTAATTGAGAACATGCTAAAATAAGTACTGTGCACACTGTATTTGCCTTGTGTATATTTTATTTGTATTATCTTTTCATACCATCCTTATTTAGGCCCTTATTGGACTCATTCTGTACTATTTCACTACTTATTTAACACTAATTTTTCTTTTTTCCTTTACGCCCATGATTTTTTCTTCTTAAAAACTTGATTAAATATAATTTACTTATAAGGAGGCATATTAGCCACATTACCCTCTGCTCCAATGTGCCTCTTGTAATCTTGACATAATGAAGAAGCTGGAGAAGCATTTTTAATCCCTACTCTTCTTTTCATTCTTACTAAAAGTTGGGGATAGCCGCGTTTGAAATTGGGATTATGAAAGAGCCGTAACTAAAACAAAAGGAAAAAGTTATTTAGTGTCATTTTAAGCCAAGATATGAGAATATAACAAACCTAATTTATAAAATATGATTTGTTTTATCAAAGTTAATGTAATAAAGTAATACAAGGATAATGTTAATATTTTTCAAAGTTTACTTATTAGGCCCAGACATGTAATAAAGGTTCTCAAGCTAAAATGTGTTGGGCATTTTCAGTAACCTTAAATACCACTGCAAATGATTTCAGGGCCTTTATTTAAATTAGGTTCATTGACAAGTTTCAAAGTTAGAGGCAAATTTTCTTATAATCTTGAATGCTCATACCCAAGCTGCCCTAATTTTATAAAAATAAACATTTAAACAGTTATTAATGTAATTTTTAAAGTCTGGTTTAAGCTTATATATATGAACATACTGATCTACAAAATAAAATCATTATATATATATATATATTTTTTTTTTTTTCCCCTATATAAGTTGTAGCTGAAAATTTCTGAATACCTTGCTTAAAATAGAGACTTCTTTTTCTTCTGCCAGAAAGTCAGCCAGAGAAGCAGATCTTTGAAAATTTTGTTGCATTTTAATAAATCCATAAAGGTTAAGCTGGTAAAGAAAACTTCTCATTCTATCAGTTTTAAATATTCTGAAAGGGGCCTTTCTTTTCAAAACTTCCTTCTTAAAGAGTTCTTCGTTAATCACTATAGAAGTTCCGTTCTTATCCCACCAAATAGACTTAATCTGATCGTTTTCAACTATTTTCCACAGTTTTCTGGGAAAGGTCATAGAACAAAAAGCATTATCTTCATCTTGTTCGGAGTCACAGAATGTGTAAGTCGGTCTTTCGATCAAGGTTTCTTCACACAAAGCCTGAAATGCGTATTCTTCAATCATAGACCTCAGCTCCAAGTCCCCAGGATATGTGTGATCACACAATGCAGATTGAATGGAGGTTTCTGAGTCATGTGATCCATCTTGAGGAGAAACATGAATTTCTGAAGAAACATGTGCCATCTCAAATAAACTTTTCTTCAGTTGCCTTCCACATCTGCATAATCTTGAACACTGCAACTTCAAAGGCCGTCTTGCAGGCCTACACAGATAAACTGTTCACACCATCACAATGGTCCTCAACCTGAGTAGCTTATGATATCATACAATGGCTGGTCTCCTGGCAATTAAATGTGACCTTCAGCCAGTGTTTCCTTCTCACTCTATAAATTGTACTCATCTAAAATAAAATATAGGCCAGTTATTTATACAGTAGCCAAAAAATGAGAACTCCAAAATCTCATTGCTATAGAATCTTTCAATCAGTAAAATATATATACATTAATCTATGTGATACCTGAAATAAAAGTGATTTCCTCCATTGTACATACAAACTTAATAGATTGGTGCCAATAATATAAGACTGGTAAATAAACAATTTTAAAAAATAGTTAAACAGCAGTGGCTGGTGTTGCTCAGTATTTTGAGCATCACCCTAGCCCTACAAGTTTTCTGGTTCAATTCCTAGTTAGGGCACATGCACACACTGCACACTTGATATCTGATAGGGGGCGCTGAAGAGGCAGGCAGTTGATGTTTCACTCTCAGATTGATATTCCTATTTCTCCCTGTCCCTTGTTCTCTTTCTGATGATACTCAATAAAAGTTTTTTTAAAAAATGAGTAAAACAAAACAAATGATTAATAAAGCTCTGTCAATTAGAAGTAAAAGATGTGGATAACCTGTATATCAAGAGACAGTCATATGCCGGGCCAGTGTGGCTCAGTGGTTGAGTGTTGACCCTGGTTCGATTCCCCGTCATGGCAAATGCCTAGGTTGTTTCGTTCCCTAGTGAGGGGCAAGTGGGAGGCGGCTGATTGATGTTCTCTCTCATTGATGTTTCTGTCTCTCCCTCTCCCTTCCTTTCTCTCTAAAATCAATAAAGAAAAAATACTGGAAAAAAAAACCAGTCATAGAGACAGTAAGGAGGAAATGGAGCAGGGGAAATTGGGAAATGCTGTTTAAAGGGTATGGGGCTTCCTTTTACAGTGAGGAAAATATATAAGAATTAGAGAGGTAATGGCTATTCAAATTGTGAAGGAACTTAATTGTATACTTTAAAATGTTTATTTTATTATTTTTTCAATTAATTTATTTTTGTTACAGATGTTTCTCCTTTTCCCCCCACTGAATCCTCCCTCCCCCACCCTCCCCGCCCTGTCCCCAGCTTTGTTGTCCATGTCCATTGTTCATGCACACATGCATATAAGTTCTGTGGTTTATCTTTCCCCCACCCCCCCTCTTCTGGGGATTGTCAGTCTGTACCCTACTTCCACGTCTCTGAGACTACTCCATTCCTCAGACTGTTATGTTCATTATATTCCACAAATAAGTGAGATCATGTGAAACTTGTCTTTCTCTGTTTGGCTTGTTCCGCTTAGGATAATACTTTCCAGGTCCTTCCATGTAGTCTCAAAGGATAAGAGATCTTTCTTTCTTACAGCTGCATAGTACTCCATTGTATATATGTACCACAGCTTTTTTTATCTAAAATGTTTATTTTTATATTAGGTATACTTTAACTTAATTTCTAAAATGTCATGAATGTATTATTGATTAAAATAGAACATAGTTTTCAGAATATAAAGTCATTTTTCTGTTTTTTTTTGTAACTAGTCTGTGTATGAAACAGTATTTGAAATTTTTTTTTATAGCCATATTAGTGGAAATAAATGTAATTTTTATGTCTTTAAATATGTAATAAATATTCATGAAAGATTTTAAGAGAAATCAGGAGGTGCACCATTAATAACATGACAAGAGTTGGAGATAAAAAACTAACAAAACCTTGTTATAACTAAAATTTGTATATGTGTCTAGTGAAAATTGCTTTCATTGCAAGAGTCAAAGGATTTATATAAAGAGATTATGTGGAAAAATCTTCATTATTAAACAGCACTTATATTTGTGAAGTGATTTTAATATTGAATAGAAGGGTTTTTTTTCAGTCCTCACCTGGGGACATTCTTCCATTTTTTGTTCAGATAGACTGGGAAGGAGAGAGAGAGAAGAGAGAGAAACATCGACATGAAAGGGACCCATCGAGTGGCTGCCTCCTGCACAACCCAAACAGGGTCAGGGACAAACTGCAACCGAGGTACGTGCCCTTAGCAGGAACCAAACCCGGGTTCTGTCTGGACCGTAGGCCGATGCTCTAACCGCTGAGCCAAACCGGCCAGGGCTGAATAGAAAGTTTTATTTCTTTTGGAAAAATAACAAATTCTCCATTTACAGTATGAACATCTATATGATCACGGGTGAAAAAGTGCTATAATATTCTGATTGGTCTGGCTTTAGTAAGTGTTTAATGTGTGTAGAAGAATTTAATAATTATTATATTTATATTTTAGGAGGCAGGTGTTTATTTTGTTTTTTGTTTGAGGTGTAATTGACATCACTTTATATTATTGGCATACAATGTAATGATTCAATATTTGCATATATTTAGAAATAATCACTTAAATTATTCCAGATGACATCCATCACCATTCATAATTAAACATTTATTTGTTATGTTGAGAACTTACAAGATCCATTCTGCTAGATAGTTTCAAATATGTAATACAGTATTATTAACCATAGTCACCATGACTAACATCTTCATAACTTATTTAAAACTGGAAATTTCTACCTTTGACCACTTTCATCTATTTTGCCCACCACTAAACCCTACCCAAGGCAAGCACCATTTGTTCTGTATATACATGAGGTCAGTTTTTTTGTTAATTTCACATATTATTCAGAGCATGCAGTATTTCTGTTTGTTAGTTATAACTTAATTTTTAGGGTTGCTTTCCTCAACATGTATTTACAGTTGAATAAATGCTGTATAAATTTCATTCATTGGAAATTTGTTTGAATTTGCTTTATAGCACAAGATGATCATTTGTTAAAAAGTTTCAAGTATGCTTGAATATCATTTGTAATTTGTAGTTTGTGTGTAGTGGAGTATTTATGTATGTTGAATCCAATATGCTGTTCATTGTTATTTTTTATAGCCTTGTGATTTATTTTTGCTGCTGTATTGGTTATGTAAGAGATATACTCTATCCTTCCATGAGAGAGGTGTATTCTGTCTCCTATTATGATAATGAATTTGTGTGCTTTGTCTTCTAGCTCTATTCTATATAATTTGCCTTTATGTTATTAAGTGCCTTTGAATTTGTAGCTTCCAGGTGAATTGAACTTATTGATATGAAGTGCTCTTTCTTTCTTTCTTCTTTCTTCTTTCTTTCTTTCTTTCTTTCTTTCTTTCTTTCTTTCTTTCTTTCTTTCTTTCTTTTTTATTTTTGTTACAGATGTTTCTCCTTTTTTACCCCATTGACACCCTCCTCCCCATCCCCCCCACCCCACCCCCGGCTTTGTTGTCTATGACCATTGGTTATGCATACATGCATATAAGTTCTGTGGTTTATCTCTTCCCTCCCCCCACCACCCCCTCTTCTGAGGGTTGTCAGTCTGTATCCTACTTCCACGTCTCTGGGACTACCCTATTCCTCAGACTGTTATGTTCATTATATTCCACAAATAAGTGAGATCATGTGGTATTTGTCTTATTATGCTTGGCTTGTTTCACTTAGGATAATACTTTCCAGGTCTCTCCATGTCATCTCAAAGGATAAGAGATCTTTCTTTCTTACAGCTGCATAGTACTCCATTGTGTATATGTACCACTGCTTTTTTATCCATTTGTCTACTGATGGACACCTGGGCTCTTTCCAGATCTTAGCTATTGTAAATACTGCTGCTATGAACATGGGGGTACATATATTCTTTCTGATTGGTGTTTCAGGCTTCTTAGGGTATATTCCTAGTAGTGGGATCACTGGGTCAAATGGCAGTTCAATTTTTAATTTTTTGAGGTAACACCATAGTGTTTTCCATAGTGGCTGCACCAGTCTGCATTCCCAACAGCAGTGTACTAGAGTCCCCTTTTCTCCACACCCTGGCCAACACTTGTTGTTTGATGATTTGTTGATGGTGGCCATTCTGACAGGTGTGAGGTGATACCTCATTGTTTTAATTTGCATCTCTCTGATGATTAGTGACGTGGAGCATTTCTTCATATGTCTCTTAGCCATTTGTATGTCCTATTTGGAGAGGTGTCTATTTAGTTCCTCTGCCCATTTTTTAATTGGGTTCTTTGTCTTCCTTTTGTTGAGTTGTATGAGTACTCTATATATATTGGAAATTAACCCCTTATCTGATGTATCATTGGCAATGATGCTCTCCCATACAGTGGGTAGCCTTTCCATTTTGATGGTTGTTTCTTTTGCTGTGCAGAAGCTTTTGAGTTTGATGTAGTCCCATGTGTTCATTTTCTCCTTTGTTTCTGTTGCCTTAGGTGATGTATCAGTGAAAATTCTGCTGCGTATGATGTCTGAAATTTTGTTGCCTACATTTTCTTCTAGAATTTTTATGAATTCATGGGTCACATTTAAATCTTTTATTAATTTTGAGTTTATTTTTGTGTATGGTGTAAGGTGATGGTCTAGTTTCATTTTTTTGCATGTAGCTGTCCAATTTTCCCAACACCATTTATTTATTATTATTATTATTTTATCCTCACCTGAGGACATCTTCCATTTTTTGTTCAGATAGAGTGGGAGGAAGAGAGAGAGAGAGAGAGAGAAACATCGACGTGAAAGGAACACATCGAATGGCTGCCGCCCGCACAACCCAACCAGGGCTGTGGACAAACTGCAACCAAGGTACCTGGCCTTAGCGGGAACCAAACCCGGGTCTCTCTGAACCGCAGGTGGATGCTCTAACCGCTGAGCCAAACTGGCCAGGGCTAACACCATTTATTAACCTGTTAACTGGGGAATTCCTTTTTTAATTATGCAGCATATAACGAGCGCGAACTCTTTCACTAGGATGTGTAAATACGTCACGCCCAGAGGACGTAATTTCATATTATTATTTTTTTATTTATGCTTAATATAAATGAAAAGACTATGAAA